AAAAACCGAGACATCCAGGGTAAACAAGGGAACTGGGGGTAGGTTCCAGAAATCGATCATCTCGAAATCATGATATTAACCTAATATAAAAAGCAACATCGAACCCATGTCATCATCGGACCAGCTCGTACCATTCGATTTACCAAGAGGATCTCTTTGCACCCGGCAATGAGTACGACTGAAGAATTTCCCCTCTATTTGCTCAACTTCGACATGGTCTTCTTGCCACATTCTTAGGCCTCTGCATTGTCAGGCAGCTTCTCCATCTCCAGAATGTCCAGCAATCGCCAGAACATGCGTATGTCCGCTTTCTTTAGCCGCCCGGATTTCGATCCCTATCAAGGCATAGAACGAGATGGTGTTATTGCTCATCACATTAGCATCTTTCTTTCTTGCTCTCCGCTTTCACGGAATGCGTTGCAAGCCGCAAGGGGTACTGGCATTGAGGAAATTAGTTTCTCACTCCTGGATTTGTCTTACACAGAATCAAATCCGTCGTTTACCACGGTTGGTAGACCAGTTTGTTGGAGGAGGGCAAATCCCTGCCTAAACCGTAGAAGTTCAGAGGCCCCCGTCATTTCCTTGCTATTTCCACTGGTACATCTAGTCTTTCCGTCAGTTACATTCATTATCTCCCGGTGCTTATCACTAAAAATCGATAATTCGCCGTCAGAAAGCCGTCATAGCCTCGCATCACAACGCATCTCCAGTGCGATGTAAACTGCGGGCGGGGGCTCAGGAAATATTTCATCTCTGTGTACAAGGTTAACCGCGTATAATTTCCCCATCTTAGTGAGAGCTTCTATATCCCGAAAGGTATTGCTACCATGAAAACAGCAGCATTGAAGTAGGTCATTGTAGAGGGGGCAAGCAAAGTCTCAATATGAGCCGTAGCCATGCTTCCAGCATTCTTGAAATAAAGAAACAATGAAACTCCCTCCTAACTTATTGTCTTCTCAATTTTTATTATTATTTCCAGTAGTATTAGGTGCGAGTGACCTGACCTCTTTGCCTATCAGACGTTAACATGAGTTGTTTTACCTAATTTTTAATAGAGATTTCAATTCTATTAGAGCTGTATATTTGCTGCGACTTGGAATTCATTGAAGCTATTGCACAAGATATACTACTCTCCGATATGATAGTATAATTAAGGATGCTAATAGGATCAAAAATAATCTAGTCTTTGAGATAGACCCAGTCTCCGTTACTATAAGAGGTCAAAAGAGCACTCATATAAGCCAGGCATCCGAGGTATCTGGCTGATGGTCAATAATGCTTGGACCCTTTGCTCCACGGCTCAACGTCCAACGCAATATCCGTCGTATACTATCAGCTCTGCTACGCTTATCGAGCATAATATCTCGCTTGGATATAGTAGAACTGGACCACTAGTGGTGGGCTGTCTTGTTAATAATGGTAGCAGAAAAATCTAGATGCTGTTTTAGAAATCGTGGCATACAAATAGCGAGGATGGATTAAAAGTGCTTGTGATCCTTTCTGCCCGAATCCAAAAGACGTGATGGAGCATGCTTTTAGGCCCGTTTGACCGCGATTTCACAGTCTTTCGTTGGGGAATCACAAGTACTGGTTATGTCTCAATTCTCATCTACACTATCGGCATTCCTATTGCCGGGTATCAGTCCTGAATTCATCATTTGGAGGCAGCCGTTAATCATCCAGGCTCCCGCAGCTCCCTTTGAGCGCCCCGTGAGCCACTTCTAGTATATACACGGCAGGAGATTGCCTTCCTGGCGTCGAGCTTCTTCCTTGATGGCAGCGGCCTGGCTCGGCCAGTACTGGTTCACGTCTTTTGCAGAATTTCCAAGTTTGACTCTTTCAGCTGATCAACCTCGCTTTGAAGTTGATCTAAGCTACCGTGGACATATTCGGCAATCTGTTCTTTTCCTCGCAACAGCATCATACGTCAATAATTTCAATCCCATAATGGCCAGGACATCGCGTCTGCTCTGAGTTTGGACATGCCTGGGAAGGCTCACTCTCAGGCATTGCCAATGACCCCTATTCCAGGTGCTGGAACTGAGCGACCAGACTTGTCGCCGACAAGCCTGTATATGCGACAATACCGAATATTGGCAATCCCATCTTGTGTTCTAATTCCGCTAGTGTCAAAATCTGTACACCGCAGCCTTGAGCTTTCAAAAGAAGGGAAAGAAATGTCTCTCAGTCTTTTCCACGCCGGATTTCGATTGAGCCCCATTGACGAACTGAATCTGAATATAGTTTTGTGCCACACGAGCGCAACTCTGTGGCCAATGTCCGAGAACCTCTCGTAGAAATAGAGCGTATGGAAGCTAGGATTGTCGATGGCGAGAAAGCGAATTCACAGAAGAAATCAGCGATATGCTTTGCATGTGCATATCAGGCTGTTTCTCGTCGCCATGTCCTCAAGCCCAGGTTGGGGGCCACCAGAGGCTGCGCATACCGCCATTGATAATTACAGAAAAAGCCACAAACTTACTGGATGCGAGTCAAGGAAAGAAGAGTTTTTGAATGAAAGCCACATTTGCGTAATTCTGGACGGCATAAATAAGGAGCGTGTTTGAAACGTTCAAAATCAGACTATTTTCCTGCATCACTGCTTCTATTCCTCGTCGAGCTTGCGTTTAAAGAAAAGAAAATGGTTGACGAGCAAGTAGTTATAATTGATGAACTTCTTTGAACTTTCTCTCTGCCCATGCGCGTCTGTATCTCTTTCGCCATGGCGTAGCAATCTTAAAGATGGCGACTACCTGTATACATGTAAGTAAGTGCTTCAAAGCAACCCGTTGTCTAATGACGGGACTATACCTTATTGATCTTGCCGTAGCAAAGGCGGCATCACCACTTCCTCGCAATTCTTCAAAAGCCACTCCCTACATCGTTCCGTGTTATTAACCTCTCCCTCTAACACGGCGTTGGGTCCAGCAAGTTCCCAAAACGCCATTTCGAACCATTCAGGCCAAAAGCCCCCAGATTCCCAGTTGAGGATGGCCACAATCTTCAACGAGATGGGGTTCACGATGACATTATCTTGTCTCAAATCATTGTGGCAGAAGACGTAGTCTTCTTTCGGGAGGTCTGCTCGCGGCTTCCAGCAGCTATTCACTCTCCACTTGCCGGCGTTGACTCGGAGCGGAGGGCAGAGCAGCTGCTGGCCGGGAACTCCAGGAGTGTCTGAGTGTAGGTTCTGTAGGGCTTTGACATGTTGGACAAGCTGCCGCTTAACGAATTGTTTGTTCGGCTCGCTGAGGTCGCTCATGGCAATGCCGGATACATGCTCAGTTAGATGAAAGAACGCTCCTATCGATTCGAAAGCGCATAGCGAACGAGGAAGAGGTATGTCAGTCTTGGCAAATAGGTATTGTAAGACGGCCTCATCCGTCCGCAATCGCTGTGGGAAAGTTGTCGGGGGGATATAGAGGTCACCTTGAGTGGTTATTTGGCGTTCATAGTGGCACAGTGTCCGCTTGATGCAAGAGCTGTTCACCCTCCAGGATACTTTGTCAAAGAGAGTAACGTCAGAACCTTTAGGTTTGCGAACATGGATCTCTTGAGTGGTTGCCATCTTGACGAATATGGGGGATTCTGATTTAATGGGTGGCAGTGTATATTGACGAGTTTTAGGAATGCTGTCTGGGGCTCGAGGTAGATGTTGTGAGAGGGCAAGGGAACCATTTTAGCACATAGAAGAGGCGTGGTGGGTGATAGAAACTATCTTGTTTGTATGTGCTCAATGGGTATTGCAAGCATCTGATTAGGGGAGGGGTGGTTGTTTATTTTTCACTGTACATACACCACTGAGGATAGCAGCCAAAGTGACAAAGCCTTGTCCAGAATTTGCGCATCATGACCAACAACCTCTTCGCTCTTTTCTGGCTGACATGGCCGCCCAACAGGGGCAAGATAGTCCCAGGAAACAGGAAATCTCGTGTTGGTTGATCAATCGATTTTCCGAGCCCACGGCTTGCCACCACTCTAGTAGCCAATCCCGCAGTTGAGGCTTGATAATATGCATGATTTTGGCCCGGTGGACAAGGGATGATGTCGCATCTAATAAGGTTGCGGAGTGCTCCTAAGACAAATCCGGTAAATTTCGTTGGCACATCACCAACACATCCAACATCCGCCAATGATTCGTCTCGAAGGGTATGACAAAGGTTTCTCCAAGCGTTGGGACTGTCAACCGTCAGTCATTGTGGATGGTGATACTGCGGCCAATACTTACATGCTCAGGCAACAGCAACAAACAAGCCGATATTCCCTCATCCGTTCCTACTGGGGTTCCGGGGTTGCACCGAATCACCGACAGGACTTCTGATTTGTACGTAATTTCCAACTATCGAGGCAACCGACCAACACCCATTAACACATGATTCCCCCAGTGCGGTGGGCGAATTAGTTGTGCAGGCATCCATTCATGGATCTAGTTTGTACAACTCGCGCCCTTGATTCTTGTAAGTTACTCCCTGCAACAATACCAGCAATTCATGATGTGTGTGGTGTGATGCTTGACCCTCTAGAAAACTTGGTGACTGGGATTTGCAACCTCAAATTCTCTTTGATACACACATGGACCGGGAGGTAATAAGATATTCATTTTTGTTAATGAATCGACGCTTTCGGGTCTCGCGGGGGTCCAGGAACCCCAGCAAGAATCAATACAGGGATGACCACCGACACCAGTGAATTTTTCAACCTGTAGTGTGTGCCACACAGCACGCCAATGAAGTCGGTATTCAATATTGCAATACTGGCTGCTCTTGTACCTTGACCTCCGCTTCACACCATGCTAAACATGACCAGGTATACAGGGGTATGCAGATGAACTAACCAAATTTCTAGAGGACGGATTGACGGTTATTCTACTTCTGGAAGATGTCAACCGGAACAGAGCCCCAGGACTATCCAGCCATAGAATCTATGACATGTAAGTTGCCTTTTGGTTGTTTCTGGGCATGCGTCACTGGCCTAAATGTGACCGGTTATTCTGAGGGTAGTCATGCATCATTTGAGTCCGATCCTTGTTCCATTATCGGCTCATCAGCTTTGTCACGTAATTCGTAAAATCTTTTCTCCGTCCAATCGAATACGTTGTCATACTTGAAACCCTTTGACGTGAACAGGCGGCGGAACAGTCGACGAAGGTATGCATAATTCGGCTTGTCCTGGAACCCAAGCGACCGAGTGTAGTTGATGTAGGTGGAGAATTCCTCCGGAAGTCCACTGCAAAGCTCTTCCACTGATAAAGTCTTCTTGTAGTTTTTGACACGTTCTAATTTTTCCTTATCGGTCGCGGCTTTAATGCCCTGCCATGGCAATGAGCCACGGGCAAAGTAGAGGAGTACATAGCCCAGGGACTCCAAATCATCACTCCAGGATTGTTCTGTGCGAAGCTTAGTAGAGAGAACGTCACGGTAATATGTGATCAAACGCGGAAGAAGAAAAGAAAAGAAAAATGACCTACCGCGTCCATTATGGTTGTTGATGCTGGCGTATCGAGCAGTGCCGCAAAGAACGCGACCTTCCAGAGTTCGATAATGCTCTACGTCGCGGTACTCCTTCGCCAGGCCAAAGTCAATAGTGTACAATATGTTTCCTCGTTTGCCAACTCCCAAGAGGAAATTGTCAGGCTTGATATCCCGATGCAGAAGACCTTTGGAATGGATGAACTCGATTCGAGAAATGGCCTGGTCAGCAACGAGGAGTATGGTCTTGAGCGAAAAACTCCGGTCACAATAGTTGAGCAAGTCCTCGAGTGAAGGACCGAGAAGTTCGTGTACTAGTGCAAAGTAATCACATTCTTGTCCGAACCATAAGAATTTTGGCATTCCGACACCGCCAGACAAGGCCTTGTATGTCTCTGCCTCGCTCTCGAGAATGTCGTATTCATCTCGAATGTGCATCAGCTTTATTGCAACCTCCTCATTTGACCGGATGTCCGTGCCTAGCTGTCTATCAGCATCTGTAAGTATTCAATATCAGAACAGCTGAATCTGTACCCAGGTAAACGAGGCCAAAGCCTCCTTCCCCAATTTTGCGGTCCACGCGGTATTTCTCATCAATGATGATATCCTAAACAAGGGCACTTAGTGTCCCGTTGTTATAAAGATGCATTGTTCGTACCTTCATTATGCATGGTAGGAGCTGAAGGAGCTGCGAGTTGCGTCTGTGTTTTTTTGGATGAGGCCAATCCGAAGTACATCAGTGTTGTGTGCACTGTGATACCAGACAGTGATCAATGGGTCAAATCGGCCCGCATATTAGGCAGTTGGACCAGGCAATTCTTGGGGGGGCCAATGGAGAACATTGAAGGTTCAAGGAAGCCGCCTGCTCCTGCCGCCCACATCCACATCATCGACTCGTGACCCACAGACCCCAAGCTGCCACAGCTTGCCCCTGCACCCCATTCCGTGGCATTTGCCAAACAAGAAGTACCTTCGAGATAAAGTACCTACCTAGGTAGGTACTTAAGTAGGTAATATATACGGAGTATACGCTAGGATATTATAGTATACAGCACGTGGATTGCTCAGGGCGCGGTCGATTTTGCTACGGGCGCTGTCACCTCTACCACTACCTGGTTTTAGGCTAGCAGCTAAGTTATTATACTTTGTAATATATTTTAATATAGGTTTTTAGTATTAACAAATCTTAATTAAATTATAAAGTTAATACCCTTTTAAATAAACTTAAAAACGCTTAAAAACGCGATATCCCTTGTTAATTAGTCTTTTAAGCCTCTAGTAGTAAATTGCTTAGGGCGTGGCAGTCGGCCCAGCCATTAAATCGAGATTGAGGCTTGGTGGGGCGTGCCGCCCACCTAGCGAAACTTGGTCTGGTCTGGTCGCCCCTGAACGCAATTTATCACCTCTTACTCTTCCTACAACAAACAGTAGGCGCGTCACCAATAACATTTCTAATCCCTCATATGTTGCGACAATGGGCCCCTCATGGCGAGGCCACAAAATCAAAAGCGGCGGCGTACACACGAGTCCCTACAAGAAAATACCTCGGTTAAAAAGGCCAAGCTTTCCAGAAAACACAATTTCTCCCCGTCTTTTTGGGATAATTTATCTAAAGTCTCGCTTACGCCGCGTGCCCTAAGAGAACTTGACGGCCGTAATAACACGCATTCTCTCCCAACGATAATACCTGAAGTGTATCGGACAGAGCTTGCTCGGTTTGCAAGACACGGGGGGCCAGATCTCCGTCATCTCCGACGCGTACGACTTTCGATCCTTGCTGAATTACTGAGGACTAACTGAGTTAAGTTTACCAAACATTCAAATATTGATATGAGCTCCCGCCAGTCATCATCTTCGAGAAGTCGGCGGCCACAATCCTCGAAAGCGACTAGCGTTGGCTCTAGAAGTGGAAGATCTTCAGCATACGGCAAAGACTTTCAACAGCATCTTGCTGACTATAATGTGCACGTGAACAACTGGCATTCAAAAGCTCTAAATGCTACAGAAATGCAATCAGAGCTAGCCCATGAAAGGGCATCATTATCTCCATCTCAATTCTCTGAAAGTGATTTTGAAGAATTCCGCAGAAAAAATGAGGACCCGGCCTTGGAGAGCGAGGTTATACCCTCTGTCCTTCCCATTCTATGTGGCAACTCGAGCATTCATAACAAGCAGAACGTCCTATTTACTGAGCTGGAGCCCATCACAAGCTTAGGTGCTATACAGCCGAAACCAGATTTTTTTGATGGAGCTCGCCTAGGTGATCTTGATCAGAATATCAGGAATAATGAGAGCATACTATCAGCAGCCATTCCTACTAAGCATCCTAACGTCCCGGTAGTGCCAAACTTCTTCTTAGAAGTCCAAGGCCCTGATGGAAATGCTTCCGTGGCCCAGCAGCAAGCTTGTTATGACGGGGCCCATGGGACTCGCGCTATCCACGCCTTACAAAACTACAAAGAGACCGAACTAATATATGACGGCAATGCCTATACCTATAGCTCGACCTATTACGCCGGCACGGGTACTCTTCAGCTCTACGCCCATCATGTTACGGCGCCTGCGACCGTCAATGAGCGACCCCAATACCACATGACACAGATTGATGGATGGCAAATGACAGGTAATATTAATTCCTTTCGGCGTGGGGTGACCGCGTTTCGAAACGCTAGAGACTCGGCGCGATGATACCGAAATCACTTTATACAGGCTGCGAATGCCAAAGCCACCTAAGCTATGCCAAGCGTGTAAGAAAACCTGAATGACTCTACCCCACACGACTCCAGAGAAGATCCAGCATACACAACCCTGCAAGACTCGGACGACGCGCTTCAGCAACAGCTCGCTTCGAAGACGAAGACGAAGAAGAAACCGAAGCAATATCTTCTTATGTGAACAAAGGCTCGCCAAATCCGGGCCAGGAATCCCCAAATCTCAAAGCTCCGATGCAGAAACGCTCGAGGCCTTCTACAAGCCCTCCGTTTTATTCCAAGCATTCCAAGAGAAATCACTAGAATTTGATCCAGCCAATTGCAAAATATATTTGCCTATTCGTAAATATATACTAATATACTATAGTATATTACTTAATAGAATGATATATTATAATATATTACTTGATAAAAAAAACATTATAGTATATTTTGTGATGTCTAGATACCTCGCCCATGTCTACCTATTTAGGTAGGCATGTATCCCAAATATTCATTCTCGTCTCATGAAGACTAGCCAAAGTCCGATGTCAGATTCTATCTCTTTTGCTGCCCAATGGCTCATGGAGACTCGCTTACCTAAGAAAACTGTATGGCAGAGGAAGCCCCGCGAACCATTGGGCAGCTAAAGAGATGACGTGCAGCCAGCATTGGTTCGGCCTGGCATTAATATTGATCTACGCAACCCGCATTACTTGATTTGACAGCTGGCTATATAAAGAAATAGGCGGAAATTATGGCAAGATTTTATGGGTTTCGGGTGAAAATATGCTCGTGCGCCGTGGCTATGTTGATCCTTGTCCATGGACGTTGTCGCGTCCGGATCCTCGTCAGTTTACTCCGTATCCCTGAATATTTTCTCGTTTTAGAAGCGGCCGGCTGCTCTTCAGCCGACTTGCACTTGCTTGTTTGGTACCTTGTACTTACTACCCGTCAACTGCTCTGTCTGCTCTCTCCCCTTTCTTTCTTCCTTTTTTCCCCCTCGTGCACTGTTGAACATGCTGTGGCTGAAGAAATTCATTTTGTCAACGCACATTATTTTCGGGTTGAATTCTCCCTTTATTTGTGTATTTATTTGCGCGGCATTTTGGTTCATCTTACAATCAAGTCATCTTCGGTGCTGGCTTTGGCGCAGCTCCTTGGGCGAACGCTAAATCTACTTGGCAATACTATTTCCCGGTGGACGACACGCAACCGGGACCACTCAAGGCCACACAAACCACGCAAACGGAGAGCGGAGAGCGCCACTCGCGACCAATCCAGAAGCCCAGAAATCAGACCAGCCTAAAGCGACCAGGGGCCCCCTACGGAGTAAGGGAGTGCCGAGTGTTGGCACCAAGGGTTGTCGAGGTGTAGAGGCTGTGCTTGCGTCTAGCTTTTTTTACCTTTGGCTGCCTGTTGACGCACCTACAAGTCGTTCAGTCCACCCTTCTCTCGTCGCCTCATCATTGCCTCCCCGTGTTGCCATCGGCAGATTGAGCCATCATCACGGATCCATTTCGATTAGCAGGATTGCCAGTTTGACAACGTGCGCCGAGGAATTGAGCTGCCGTCATGAAGTTCCAGACCGGCCATTCACCCCTGCTGCTCCTACTGCTGCCTTCGCTGGCCGTCGGCATCTCGCCTCGCGCCGTCACCGCAGCCAAGGACGACAACTCCAAATCCATCTCCTCTTCTTCTCGTAATGCCGACGATGCTACGAATGTCGAAGCAGCCGCTGCAGACCGACGTTTCATACCCACTAGAGATGCCCCCGTTGATGGCAAGGATGGGAAGCCTCATCTCGGCCCCTTTGTCGAGACTGACGGTGTGGCTGTCGATATGAATGGCAACCAACTACCGCTATTAAAGGGCCGACCCAACGACCCAACCCGGGTTGGCGACCAGAAGATCCCCGAAACGAATTCTGGTGTCATGTTCGATAAGAATCGTGATCGACCTGAAAAGGGAATTTCTACGGGCACCGAAGGCGGCGTCACCGAGAAGTCAAAGGCACGGAAGGAAAAGGAGGGAAAGACCGGCGAGAAGGTCCTCACGCAACCAGAATCTCCCAAAGAGAAGCCACCACTGCCACATAGCGAGGAACGGAAATTGCATGGCGGCAAGGACGAAGACACTGACAAGTCAAAACTACACAAGCAGGACGGCAGCAAAGACTATACAGGTCTCGATGTGAGTCGTGCCGTTACGGTCCAGTCTCTTTTTTTTTCGCCGTCGCAAGACGTATAGCTAATCGATTGTTGATTTACTAGAAACCCGATGATCTCCCCGATACACCAAACAAATCCAAATCATCGTCAACGACAACAAAAGATCCGCTCGAGCCCCCACCACCGAAAACCAAGGACACATCCCAGTCCAAATCCAAAGTCCCCGTTGAACAAAAGGATGAGAGCATTATCCAGCCATTCCATTCATGGATGCTATCCTTTACCATGATTCTTGTCTCTGAAATTGGTGACAAAACTTTTCTTGTGGCTGCACTGATGGCCATGAAGCATGATAGAATGGTGGTGTTTTCTGCCGCTTTTGGTGCCTTGCTTGTCATGACTGTCTTGTCTGCTGTTCTGGGACATGCTGTTCCTACTCTGATTCCTAAGCGCCTCACAAGCTTCATGGCAGCAGCCCTGTTCTTTGTCTTTGGTGCTAAACTCCTCAATGAGGGTATGAAGATGGACCCCAATGAAGGCGTTTCAGCTGAGATGCACGAGGTGGAACAGGAGCTAGCAGAGAAGGAAAAGGAGATGGGCAATGGGCATAACGGTGTTTCCGCTTACAACCTGGAAATGGGACTTGGTGGCAGGAATTCTCGGTCTAAGAGCCGTTTCCCCTCGCCGCCTCGATCGCCATCACAATCCCCATCACGCAGCCCTCCCCGACGCTCCGGATCCATGGGCGGTTTCATGCAGGGAGTTGGTAACCTCTGCTCTCTGCTCTTGAGCCCGGCCTGGGTCCAGACCTTTGCCATGACGTTTTTGGGCGAATGGGGTGATCGCAGCCAAATCGCAACTATTGCCATGGCTGCTGGCCAGGACTACTGGTGGGTGACTCTCGGTGCAACCTGCGGACATGCCATTTGCACCGGTGTGGCTGTTATTGGAGGACGGGCCATCGCCGGAAGAGTCAGTCTGAAAATCGGTATGTCTCCCCTGCGTCGACATGCATGCTTTGACCCCGTGATTTTCCTAACATGCGTGTCTAGTCACCGTCGGCGGGGCCGTTGCCTTCCTGATCTTTGGCTTCATTTACTTCCTCGAGGCTCTATACGCATAGACCTGGGTGCATTTGGCCAATCATTCACGCCCTTATTTTGTAAACGACGCTATATTCCAAAAAGTCGGATGCCGGTCCGCGACCCTATAATCAACCAGCCATGTATTCCCTTGTAATTAAAAGTAGCACGCACGCGCAACAACGTTTCATTGTCGTTATCCCTTTTACCCCACAAATTCTCCTTGTTGCTAAACCTTGTTCCTCACAAGGTGGTGCCAGTCATTCGTCGTTTTGGGCATAATCAGCAAAACGTCTACATCTCATTGGCCGTATTGTACAACACATGGTGGTGCATTGCACACGTTTCAGTCTGTTTCTTTTTTGTTATTCATGTTGCCCGGTAGCAGGCGACGTCGCATGAAAAAAGGAGAAGGCGATATGGGAAGGGGCGTGGGAAAACTGCGAGGCAAGGTGAAATGGAGAAAACAAGTACGGGACATTGGCATCTGCATGGTAGAAATGGAGTTTTAATTGGAGCAATAGATGGGAACGAGGCTCATGGATCTTCTCTTGGTTTACTTTTCCACTCTGGTGCTCTGTCAAGTCTGACAGGGTTCTTAATACTACAACAACCATGCCAAATGTTAACCCTGGTCTTTTGTCATGGATATCTTGTCTCTCTTGACTCACAGCACGCGGTCCGAATGTTGGCAACGTACCAACGAAATGCCACGTCCGGCAACCAGAAGCGTTGGCTGCAGGCTCCGTCGTGCGTGCCCGGGAAGACGGCACAGCTGCCACTTGTTGGCCGGGAAAGAGGACATCTGAGCTTGTCGTCAGATGCAAGCCAAGTCTGCCTGCCGGTTTGCATGCAGGTGGATGATGGATGCTGGCCAAGGCTTCCAAGGCTGCGGACAATGCTCGGTGCAACCTCTACGATATGCCGCAAATGGTCTGATGGCTCTGCCCGGATCGAATCGATCAAATGTCTCCGGTGGGAACAGGACGTGATTTGTTCGGGCGAGGCGGGGGTCGTCGGGGTGCGTTGGCTTGTTCACTCGGCCGAGATGGCTTTTTCGCCTTTGGCCCACGTTCACCTTCACGAGACTGGGCCGGCCTGCTTTGTTTCTCCACACGTCAGACCAAACTCTGCCGCCACAGGGCTGAAGCGAATCAATCAAGCGACTCTCTCTGTTCTGCGAGAACCCAACCCGTCTTTGTCCATCGTCACGTCTGCTTGTATCCCGAGATCCGGGCCTCGGCTGTGTGTTGGTGGTGCAGAGTTTAAAGAATGGGGTTGGTGCAAAACTTCAACATCGTGAGTGCCACAAAGGCCGTCTTGTGGTCAGGGCCAGGAGTCCAGGGCACCTGTGTTGATCCTAACTTCGTACCGAGTAGTTCGGCGGCATACATCTCCCAGGGGAATTATGCAGGTTGCAGCAGGTCGCGTCTTTCGGGTCCAGGAAGCAACGCAGCCTCGTGTTGGGACGCACATGTTTGTATCGTGTTCGAGATGGTTAGTCGGCCCCTGTTGACGAGAGACTTTTTAGTAATGGATTGGTAACCACGGCAGTTGGACGAGGCTTCCGGGCCTGCCAGGAACATGGTTACTGCAGGCTGTCAAACTCGTGGGCCATGATAGAAGCTAAGCAGGCGACGAGATGTAATAGCAGGGACTAAACAACCGCACCCACCATGGCGCTCTAATGCCAGTCTCAGGTACACCGTCGGCCTTCTTTATTATGCTCAGCGTCGCATTCGCTTCTTTTTTCCCGCTTGGACAGGCTAGGACAACGCTACCGGCATGGCTCAGCTAGCAGAACCAACATGCGCTGGGTTGGGATGCCGTGTTGGTGGGCGCGCAGAGCACGCAGAGCACGTCGCTTTCTTGCTTGATCGGATAGTTCCGCTGCCAGAAAGGGCCGTATCCACTTTCTCGAGTCTAAGCATTGTGTGTGTTGCATGACAGCTCTGAGATACGGGGGGGAGAAGGCTTACGAAGCATGCGTGATGTGTGAGGGAGTATTGGGAGGAGCAACGTCGGGACCATTTGCCGGTCCGTGGCGACATGAGATGCCCCTTTTGGGGGCCGTTGATGTCCTACTCCCTGGATAACGTGGGATTTTGCATGGAGAAGCGAGGAGATGTCTGTTTCAATGCTGAGGTGCTGGGCCCGTGTGGTTGCGCTGCTGCCTGTCAAACCTTGTTCTCATCGCCAACACGAACCAACCCCCTGGCCGAGGGCTTTTTTTTTTTTTTCGAACTCGAGTATTCCCCGCGTTCAAGCACAAACCATTCAGCGATCTATCATCTGCAACACAATGATGATGAGAAGAGACATGTGAAGAAGGAGAAGGAGGATGTCGTTCGCTTCACACCACCATGACTGGACCCTTTGTCGACGTTGGGTTCGCTTCTTCCCACCCCAGACAAACTTTGACACCAACGCTTCCCACTACGCCACCGGAATGGGAAAAAAAAGAAAGACGGAGCTTTCCGCTGAGACAGGTAGTTCACGACACCCTTGCCTGCTCCGATATCCTGGGGGTGGTGATTCTCCTCCACCCCCCTCCCCTTTCGCGTTGTCTGATGGAGAATATGAAAATCTTGTCAGCGGCAACTAGCCCGTTCCAAGACGGACTTGCAGTCGGGTCGATAGTTTGATACCCAAACAAGACGGTTCTACCGTTTCTGTTGCCTGCCAACATTGTTCGCGGCTACAAGGGGGGACGAGGAGGGCGTGGGCGAAACGCTCGGAAGCCCTTTGTGTTTGGTCTCGGAGCCGAGTCAGGGACGCATTATTGGCTGATTTTGTGATGCGTGGTTCTTTTGCTCTGTCTAGTTTTTGGCTTTCCTCGTTGCTGATGGCTTCCTGTTGCTCGCATTCGCACTAAACATGGCAAAGATGCGCAGAGCAGGTTGGCAAAGGCCCGAGAAGTGTGGACTGGCACGTATCTGGTGAGTCTGGTGAATGCTTGCATGTTGGTGACGGGCATGGTACAATAATGGGCATGGGGATAGCTGTACGTGACGGCATACGACTGGGCTTGGGTATAAAGAGGGCTTGGGTTCGTCTTTTAATTTTCTGATTATACAAGTCGACTCCGACAATTATCGCTTCTGAATCATTCAAACCTATTTTCTATTTCCTCGATTAGTCCTGCCAGCTTCATCTCCGTTTCGGGTCGCTGCGTTGAAGCACTACACATTGCCTCTTTTTTTTTTTTTTCAAACGCTACACCAAAAATCTCAACATCACCATACCCTCGAACAAAGGACCATGGACCGCGTCTGCACCGGCGTATTCTACTACTGCCCCGTGTGCGGCCAGCCCAGCGGCTCAAGCATTCCCCAATCCGAATGCCTCACCTGCGCAGCGTACGTCTCTGTCCACTCCCCTTCCTCCCCCTACCCCCTTTTCCTCCAATAGCATTTTTCCATACTCTGTATTCCCCATTCCTACTCCTCCCCCATGAGTTCGAAGACGAAGGGCAATCAATAAAAGGGAAAAAAAGCAAGGTTTGCTGATAAGTCACGGCCTTCCATGTAGACAGGAGCAGATCCGACGGTTTCGCGACCTCGCCGCCACCCATCCTGCGCTCTCCGGGCTCGACGACGACGACATTGTCTTTGTTGTTGTCCGACGACGAAGACGAGCTGACTGACTTGCTGCTCTGGCACGTCGACGAGCACAACTACGGCGCGCTGGACCTCGAGTCCTCCCGCCGGTGTCACTGGCACCATGACCCCAGCGAGGCGGATTCGACCGAGCGCCTGGCTGCCACATCCACCACTGCCTCCGTTGACACGGACGCCGACACAGACGGGGAGGGCCTTGTGGCTTCCCGACATCACGGATGGTGTCACGCTGTGGTGTGGCTTGTCGTGCTGGGGTTGTTGACCGTGATAGGTGCGGGTATTCTGGTCCTGGTTCTGTTATAGGGTGGCCTCTACCCCGTAATGTGAGGCTTGTTGCATGCTTGTGTCACCCCAATCTTCCTTTTTTTTCATCTCCTTTCTGCTCGTTTGTCGTATGCCAGTGGTATGGAGTACTTCGGACATGAGGCTGCGTTCGCTGGGGGGGGAACCCCCTGGCCCTTGATGTTTTTTCGCTGTTTAAAATTACCATGAAAAAATCCTAAAAATACACCGAGCACCCCGTGTTGCTCGATGAAACAAAGAAAAAAACCCGAATACATAAACGTGTATGCCATGTGTGCTTGCTGTAAAGAACGCCCCCCCGGTTCCTCCGTCGCCGTCTACGAAGTACCAAGTATTCAGTACTGCTCGATGCTCGCCCTCTCTCCCCCTATCCTATCCCCCATCCCCCCTCCCCAGACTCATGCCAGCAGCACGTCTGTACTTTGTGTCAGGGCAAGTTGGGTACCGTCCGTGTAACAACAGAGCAACAAAGAGTCTCACATGCCAACAGTAAGGGAAGAAGAATCAGGCCACTTTGCCCTGTTCCTCGCAACTACCGGCCCGCGCTGGCAGTTCCGTGGCGTCCTCCTCGTTCCACGTGTGGATAAAGGCTCCAAACCGTACGGGCTGATCGACGGCATGGCTGTCGTTTGCGTACAGAGCCGTTGGGGACCGGTGTTGGTCGAACTGCTGGTGGCTGTTGGAGAGCCACGGCTCCCAACCTCTACGGAGTGTGCGTATGGAGCAGCTGGTCTTTTGACCCCGAGTCCAAGGTTGAAATTAGGTCGACGACGCGACATGCAACGAGACCGGAAACCTTTTTGCCCAACACCGACGTGACCGAAGCATCGAGAGGCCCATCCATGGCCTATATTCCGGTTTCTTCAAGCCTGGGGAATGAGTGGCGTGCACGCCCTTGACGGCGGAATGGATCATTTCCTTCAAGAACACATCGATGATGGTTTTAGCCAAAAGAAAAAAAAATATACATCATTTACGAGCCTCGGCTCGACCAAATACGTATTACATTGATTCTCATCAAGTCGACCTATGAATAGCAGAGTATCGTCAGATTGGTGCTGGTAGGCAACAAAAACTGCTCCGCATCCTCCTCCTTTGACCACCATGCAGGCCACCCAACATGAATCAACCTTCCAAAGCAGAATGCTATGCCATGCCGTGAAAATCAGTCGCCAACGCCGGGTCCCATACGCGTCACATATCAGGTTCGCTAGGTCCACACATCCATCTTTAATGGCAAAACTTCCAAGGTAGCCTGGCCTCCCAGCCCTCGTTCCTTGTTCCTCGTTTTTCTGATCCGCTGTATCCTTCACCCAGCTTCTAGATTGCGCTAACACGATAAAATAAACTATGATTGGAGTAAATGAAGGCCATATCTCGCTTTTGTTCAAAGCTAAATCCCACATGGAAACACATCAAGGTCATCTATGATGCCTCCTTTGCCTCGGGCTCCACTCTCGGCTTTTCCTCTGCCTCAGAAGGCTCTGTATCTGTTGCAGGTGTTGAAACCCCCTCTTCTGAATCCTTTGTTCTTGCCTCCTCGGGATTGGAAGCTTGACTGCTTTCGGTGTATTCTGTTGGTGAGCTATCTGGCTGCTGCATTTGTGGCTCTTCTAAAATCTCCTGCTGTGGTGTCATGGGTCTCCGAATCGGTGTACTGGTCCCTGGAGCATCTGCCACATAGCCTGACAACCTCAGGGAGCTGGCACGCGAGCGGCCCACACGCTGCTGGTCCCCTCTGTTCATTTCAGAATCCCACAAGGGAATGTCCTTGGAGCTCCAAGATGCCCGGTGAACACGGGCGGTCCTGGGGAGGCTGCTGACCGAGAATCTCGAGCTGGCGCTGTTTGCTCGACTCCGGCGTCCACTAGCCCCGACGGCAGTGACTGATATGCTGGGCGGATCCAAGTCTGGGAACTTATCGACGCCCTCGTCTTCGATCTTGGGTGCACGTCGCACGTCTCTAACTTCAAACATGGCCTCGCGAGACCCTTCACTCGTCTCTTCCTTCGTGTTTGACTTCTTCGGCCTCGGCGGGAAGTCGTCCGCGCAAGCCTTTGCGTGCTCAAAATAATTGATGCGAACTTGTTCCAAAACCTGCGGGAAGTCTTCTCGGTTGCGGGAAAGGGACATCCACGTCGAAAGCACCCCTAATACGATCAATACCAATACTGCAATTGCAACAAATCCTTGGACGACGATGATTATAATACCAAGGACCGTGGCGGCAATTCGATTAATAGAGAACGCAGGCAGGAAAGCGATCGACAAGCCAGTGGTTACAATCTTAGAAATTGACAGCATCCAAACGGCAACTGCGGTGTTTCGGTTGCTTTCGAAGGGGTTCAGCTTCATGATTACGACGAGGGCAATGATGTCAAATATGAACAGTCCGTAAACTTGTGCCAGAGGCGAACGTGCTGCTCCGCCAACGAAGCATGCTCGGATGAATTGGTAACCAAGGTAAAAAGCGAAGAACCACCATCTTGATCGTCGGTACCGGGCTGACAGCCAACCAAATCTCTTCACATATCCTTCGTCCAGGTGAACAGGGTCTCTATTCGGGTCGTCGTCGACGTATTTGACCTTGACGAATGGCATAGTGCCAAATAGATACGGTCTTCGGCTCGGCTCCTCTTCGCCTATTCTGCTCTGTCTCGTCGTAGCAATGAAAGGAACCTTGCCAAATACGGTGCCCCGTTCGAAACGTAGACTATCCGGCCCAGTCTCGTACTTTCCATGTCGAAGTCGGAAATAGCAGGCATAGGCTGTGATCCCTCCAATGCCCAGCAAGAAGATCAACCAGACAATGGCTGCCACAGCAGTCGGCCCAGCAGATCCACGAAGTGAAAACTGGTACATGGCGAGGGTCATGACGGTGAAGAAGGCAATGAACAGTGTTCGGAGGAGGGCTGAGGCAGTGTAGCCCCAGACGTGCGACCGGAAATAGTCGAAGCCATCAGATTTGAGCCACCTCAGTCGTATCAGGAGATCCAGACTCAGCTTCACTGCCCCGACAAACAACGCCACAGCAGCCAAAATGACAAGCAGCCATATGATGGAGATGGTAAAGGCTTCAGCTGGAGGGATATTAACCATGGATAAGGTTCCACTAAACCCGGGCCAAGTGCCAGGCATGGGCATACCAGGCATCCGTGGGCGACCGCCCCAAGTATAATCGTATGGATCGCTTGCATTATATGCATTTCGTTGAGCGAAAGACTTTAGTGAGCCAGCAGTGTTCTGGAATGGGGACGCGGCAAACAACGACCGGCCATAAATTTGTTGTAACAGGCCACCGCCATTATTGATCTGGACTGAACCAGCGCCACCTACTTGAGTGATGTTGACATTGTTGCCAGTAAAGGCGCTCACTGAGCGAACAATTTGCTTGTTTGCAAACATGCCTGCTGTCCATGCAAAATTGCTCCACCATGCGGGAAGCACGCTAGGCCAATTGACGGACAGGGCACCAGAGAAGAACATGGACTGAAATGTCTCAAAGATGACGAGAACCGAGAATGAATGTGCATAGTGAACACGCATATGTGGGATGCTCAAGCCATATATGGCAGTAGCAAATGACGCTAGCACAGCAATGAACACCATTACTCCAAGAAACGATGACACAGCTTCCGGTTGCGAAAAGCTGTTGCCGTTGGTCATGACAGCTTGGAAACATCCGATTTGGGTTTGTGTCGAATTGGCGAATATTTGTAGACGAGCCAAGCCCTCTAGATCGGGAATCCCCAGTGCGATGGACGGAATGCCAGATACATCGTGCGGAGCAAGGGGGATAGCTGCAAATGCTGTTATAGGTACGGAATTGTTCAACGGGCACATGCTGTGGATGTTGGCTTTGCACGGATCATACGTCATGTTAAATCTATTCTCCCCGTATGCCTCGACCGAGATGTGAACTGTGGCGTGAAGACAATGTTAGCCTTGAATTGATGTGTAAAATATGAGGTCTCACAGAGGGCAGGTTGATCATACGAATGAGATTTTCTTTATGAATATTGGTGGTTCCATCCAAGTGAAATAGGACCGTGAGATTATCAGCATAGTATGCAGCATCGAATTTGGTGACATTGAACAAGCTCTCTCCACCAAGACAGTCGTCGAAATCACCCGTATACAGGGCGGGATATCGGCTAACGTCAAGGTCGCGGTTCACACCGTCGATTCCTAATCCCTTGATATAGACGGGTTCTCGCGCGTTGGCTGCCGCGGAATGGCATAACAGCAAAGCTAGGAGCGGCAGAAGAGCCGTCATTGGGGAACGTAATCGCAGCATTGTATCGGCAGATGGAGGGCTGAGGGGATAGTTCGACTCGATACGGAGGATTCTCAGGGTAGCCCAGGGCCCCTTCTGGGTGACGATGGTAGTGGTGATGTTGTCCCGACACAAACAAATGCTGGCGATGTAGGTTTCAAGAGTTCAGCCGTGGCGAGGCGGCGAATTCGCAATGTGCAGCCGAAACATCCGCCAGCGAACAAGACGAGACATGGGACGCAGGAGAAGGATACGAGTCGTGAATCGAAGGTCGAATGTCGAAGGTTGAAATTTTTCCAAGCATGAGCAAACTGTCTAGGGTTGATTTCGAGGGCGGTCGGGGGTTTGTCTCAGCCGGCAGGCGCTACCGGGCGTTGATGATGGTCGGTGACTCTGGGAAACTTTAGGCTTCGCCAAAGCGAACAAGAGAAAACCGCGACTCAATTTCTCGTCACGACGCCTACTTGCCCTCGAATCGGCTTCAACCGATGATGCTGAGCAGGTCGCCTAGCCCCCAACGAGCACGAAAAACGGATGGGTTGCACAAGAGGAGGTGGCCGTTTGAGATGGGCAAGCAAGCTCGTATTTTTGGGCATCCTGGCCGGATTGCCCATGAGTCCGCCAACTGCACTGC